AAGAACCCAAGATGAATCCACCCAAGCCTGGGTTCTTCACGAACCCATGAACAATGAATCCAGGTCACACCTGGGTTTGCAACCTGGATTGGAGCTAGGTTTGCCTGGAGGTAAAAGAAAAAAAATAAAACCCAGAGGAAGGAGAGGATGGGGAAGGAGATGGGGTAAATTAGTAATTTTTTCTCTGGGAGAGTGACGTGGAGGGTATCATTAAATCCACGTAAGCATTTTTTACATGTTGGCATACCCACATCAGCTGTTCCAGTTAAGTTAACGTGCCATGTGAGCAAAAATTAACGGAAGGACCAAAAAGGGGCCGGATTTGTGAACAGTAAGGACCAAAAAGGGGATTTTTTCGGTATAGGGATCAAAAAGGGGCTTTTTCTTATAGTAAAGGGACCAAAAAGGGTATTTAACCTTTTTACTATGCCAAAAGATTAAGGAATCACCAAGAAAAAGACAATATCCAATGGTGGATTTACGATCACTAGAGTCTCCAGCCCAATTAGTGTCAGAGTAAGCAAGAAGTTCAAGAGATGAATGAGCAAAGAAGTGAAGTCTATGAAAAGTGGTACCTTTAATGTAACGAATGATGCGAAGTATTATAGCATAGTGAGTGGAGTGAGGTGTAGCCATAAACTGGCTAACAACATGAACTGCATAAGCTATGTCTTGTTGTGTTGTAGTGAGATAAATCAAACTTCCAATCAACTGTCTATAGCAAGTAAGATCAACTAATGGAGAACCATCCATAGGTGTAAGTCGAACATTTGGCTCAAGAGGTGTAGATTTAGTCTTATTGTCAATGAGTCTAACTTTAAATATAAGATCAGAAGCATATTTTGTTTAGAAGAGAAGATAACCACCATCAGAAGAAGTGGCCTCAAATCCCAAGAAATAACTCAAAACAACAAGATCTTTCATCTCAAACTTATAACTGAGAAATTGCTTAAGATCATGAATACTTGAAATATCACCCCCAGTAATGATCATATTATCAACATAAAGAAGTAGTAGAACCATACCATGATTCGTCTTGCATATGAACAATGTAGTATCATGAGGACTAGAAGTAAAACCAAACTCACTGATGGTGGTGCTAAACTTGGCAAACCAAGCTTGAGGTGCTTGTTTCAAACCATATAGAGCTCACTTCAATCAACAAACTTTATTTGGAGGATGCTCAAGTCCAGGAGGTGGTTGCATGTAAACTTCCTTTACAAGATCACCATTTAGGAAGGCATTTTTCACATCCATCTAAAACAATTTCCATCTTTTTGCAGTAGCAATAGCAATCAAACCACGAACTAAAGTAAGACGAGCAACAGATGCAAAGGTTTCCTCGTAATCAATCCCATATTCTCGAGTAAGTCCTTTAGCAACCAAATGAGCCTTGTAATGCTCCACAGAACCATCAGATTGAGTTTTGATCTTATACCCCAATTTACAACCTACCAAATGCTTTCCAGCAGGAAGATCAACTTAATTCCATGTACGAGTTTTCTCAAGAGCTGGTAATTCATATTGCATAGCTTGCTACCAAAGAAGGTTAGAAGAGGCCTCTTGATAGGATTGAGGCACATGTAAGGAGGTAATAACAGGAAAATAATGATAGTCATGAAGATAGTTAGGAGGATTTCTTACCTGAGTACAATGACTTGAAGGTAGATTAAGGATCTCATTTTCGGGCTCAACAAGGTCAGATCCAATAGGTGATACAGAAGAAGGAAGGGAAGAAGACTTGCCATTATCTAATGCATTACCAGTAGGCAGAGCATCTTCTATAGAACTAGGTGAAGCATGTGGAGAGGCATCATGGAGCTCATCAAATGTATCTACATTAGAGTCACTAGGAAATAGCTCAATAGAAGGGTTAGTAAAAAGTGGAGGTTGATTAGAAGATGACACCTGGAAGTTTGATAATGAGGAAAACATAGTGTGTTTCCAAAAGATAACATGACGTGAGACTCGAAGTTTTTATGACACAAGATCCCAACAACAATATCCTTTATATGTAATCCCATAACCCAAAAAACAACAAAATCAAGCTTTAGGCCCTAGCTTGTTATGTTTATGAGGTGGAAGAAGAACAAAACAAGCACAACCGAAAACCTTAAGAAGATTATAAGTAGGAGGAATATCATATAAACATTTGTATGGAGACTTATTATTGATGACTGATGATGGAATTCGATTAATGAGATAAACAACTTTAAAAGCAGCTTCACCTCAAAATCGCTTTGGACAAGAAGACGAAATGAGCAGAGCACGAACAGAATCAAGGATGGGTTTGTGTTAACGTTTGACTCGCCTGTTTTGTTCAGAAGTGTAAGGACAAGATCGTTGTGCCAGTGTACCATGTTCTTTTAGAAAGTATTGAAGTTTAATACTAAGATATTCAGTGACATTGTCAGTCTTTAAAACTTTGATAATTTTAGAGAATTGTGTTTTGACCATGGTAGCAAAATCAATATAAATTTGTGGTAACTCAAAGCGATTTTATATAAAATATATCTAGGTAAAATGAGTATGATCATCAATAAATAACACAAAGTACTTGAAATCCCCCATGGTAGGTGTCGAAGATAAACCCCAAACATCAAAATGCATGAGATCAAAAGAAGCTACAGAAAGAGAATGATTACTAGAAAAAGATAAAACTAGTTGTTTTGTAGATTGACATAACACACAATGTAAAGATTCATTTGGAATAGATCCTAATAAACCATGAGAGATAAGAGGACGGAGTTTATTGATTGAGGTGTGTCCAAGTCATGAGTGCCATAAATGAAAAGGAGAAATGTTAGTAGCAACACAAGCTTGGAAGATTTGTTGATATGGAATTTGCAAAGACTCTAATTCAACAGACAAAGTAGGGTTTGGATGAATCGGTCATTTGGAAATGATGGTGTATCCATTTTACGATGAGGAATGTGCAAATAATTGAGCTCAAACAGACGCCCTATCTTGTGACCAGTTCCAAGAAGTTGTCTTGTCTGTGGGTCATGCACACGACAAGCATGAGTAGAAAATGTTACTTCAAGACCAAGAGCACACAATTAACTAATAGATAAAAGATTATAATTAAGTTTTAGAACCAGGAAAGCATTTAGTAAAGTCAATGAATTTGTAGAAATATTGCCAATGTGACTAACATTCATAAGGGAGCCATCAGGAGAAAAAATGTTAGGAAATGAATTATTTGGTAACATTGAAGAGAAATGAGCAGTAGTTAAAGACATGTGATTACAACAACCGAAATCAAAATACCAAGGTTTAATACCTGAAGCAGTAGATAAGGCAATAAGAGCATTAAGAAGATTTAATATCACCTGTTTTATAAATTCAAGGTTGACAATAAGTTGGTATATCACTTCTCGAGCAACCATTGCAATAGCAAGATGAGTCACAATTCTTTCAAAACTCGTCATAGAATCAATAGAACTCACAATATTGAAAAAATCTCTCAGAAAGTGCCTAAAACTAAACAATCCAATCTGCAGAAAAAGAGAACCCAACAATAAAGTTTCAAATCCATAATAGATCTCAAAAACCATCTCATAAACCAAATAGTGATGATAAAAACAAAAAAGGAAAAAGAAGAAGAAGAAGAAGAAGAACCAGGAGCTTATAGCTCTAATACAATGTTAGGAACCGAAAAGAAAGAGAAATATCTAAAGAAAGGTTTATTGTTTTCTTAAATAATAATGTATATACAATGACTTGTATATAGGTGTTTACAAAGAGAATATTTTAAGGTATAAAATATATATATAAAAAAATTCTAAGGTATAAAATATTTATAATAAGTGTATTCACATCTTAACACCAATAAATTGATATAGGTAGAAAAATCATCAACTGTAATGCTCTATTCACAATTTACCTTATTTTTATCATTTGGCTTAGGAACAGTTATTCCTCTAATCAAACAAGCACTGATGATAAACCTCTTAATATTGGAAATTCAAAAATTGACATTTGAAGAATTTTTGTGACTATGATATACTTATAATTTTACATAGGGGTTATAAGTTTATAATAATAATGATGATATATTAGTAAATAAATAAATATAGACAATATTATAATGGACTTCTCGATAAAAATAATCAATTATATAATAACAATATTATAATTACAATATTACGTAAAATAGAATTATAAGTATATAATGATGATGAATTATTAAATGAATGGATGAATACAATATTACATGTGCACTTTTGAATGAAAAAAATTAATTATATAATGACACGTCATAATTATGAGTTTATAATGTCAACTAACATTATTGTAACTACTTTTTTTTTGTCCTAAATTAATTGCTTTTTTTAAACTTCTTTTTCTCCAAATTATAAGGATTTAGAGATAATTTATATTTTTACCCATATTATCTTTAAAAATAAATAAAAGATAAAAGAGAAATTTATGAAAGTTAATTTGAGATAAATTTAAAATAAAAAAACAATAATTATTTTGAGATAAAAAGAAAATATCATTTTCAATCATATAGTAACATATTATGATTATAAATTTATAATATTATGTAATATTGAAAATATATCATTTCTGGTTTTTCTCTTTTTTCTCTCTTTTTTTTTTTACCAAACCACATTTGAAGATATCAATGATGAGTCTATTATATAATAACAACAACAATAATAATAATTGAACTTAGCATTTCTATACAATTTCAAGTTTGCCTTAAAAAATTAGAAAGCTTACACCTGAACTTCTAAAACAGTATTAATATACATCTAGCTCCATCCATGTTTGCATAAGATCCACCTGAAGATATAAAGATACATGTTCTCCCATGACTCCCTCCTCACGAAGTTCGAATTCATCCCACTTCTATCAAAAAGGAAAAGTTTTAGCGATCTATGATAGAAATACATTCAAATATAGCGGAATTAAACTTTACTAACCTCCTACTATTGTTGTTCAAATCACAAAATTATGAAATCTAGCTAAGTAGATCATGCAAAACTCTTGTTCCGTGCAATTCCACAATATATCAATAAAACTTTCTACAAGAAGATCAAAGGTTAAGCAAAAGTAAGAGCTTTGGGCAAGATGATGAATGTACAATGTAATTTTGAGGAGGAAATTAGGTTGGTGTTTTGAGATTAAGTGAAAAACATGATTAGGAAAAGATGAGCACTTTTAGTCTCTTGCCTTTAGAATACTAGAAGCCGATGATCTGATAGAAAAAACACAGGCATTATTATAAATTAGACTAGGGACCAATCTTTTAAACTGTTGTCAACAATTTCCTACACTCAAGAAAGTGTGTTTTAAAAAACCCAAAAGTCTAAAAACATGACTTTTAGTTGGAGAAAATCTCTCCAGTTCCCAATTAATTATTTAAATTAATTAATTAAATTTTATTTAGTTTAATGATGTGACATATGAACCACACTTTAAGAGATAATTTCATCATTTTCCCACTTAGTCTATATGACACATCTAAAATTTAAAATAGTGATATTTTATGTAAATAATACAATTTGAAAATTTTCAAAACATGAATCTCGGTGAAGACAATCATTAATAGAAAACTTCTTCCAAGTATTACAATGTAAAAACCTTTCACATAAATTATTTGCTTTATAAATGACCAAAATCATTCAAGGTTCTTGGTTTCAACATATATATATATATACCTTATATGCACAAACAGGAAAATATTGAAACTTAGTTCTAAGAACATAAAAATTACATAACCTAAAGATTAAAATGAACCACAAATTCCCATTAGACCCATATGATCCTAACAAACCCTTAGTCATGGGATTAGCTATCATCTGTTTGGTACTATTGTGTTGGATATCTTATATCTATGGTTCTACTGTAACAAGGTTGTCAAAATGGAGAATTTATCTAAAATCGTTTTGATTAAATAAAATTAGAACCGTAAACTCGAATCATTAAATCAAAATTTTATTAAATTTAATATATAATATATAATAAATTATATAAAATTAAAATTAATTTAACATAATCAAGCCCCCAAACCAACAACCTAGACCCC